GCGCGCGCGCGTGCACACACATACACACACAGACACACACACAGACACACACATAGACACACACAGACACACATACACACACAAACGCGTGCACACACACACATACACAGACACACACACATACACACACAGACACACACACATACACACACAGACAAACACACACACACACACGCACACACACACAGACCGCACCCTCACTCTCAGCTGTATACTGAGAGAGAATTCAAGACACGGGAAACCACTGTCTGGGATGGCTCAGTGGTTAAGACACTGGCTGCTCTTCGAGAGGACCCAGGTTCAGCTCCCAGCACCTACATCAGGCAACTCGTAGGTCTGTAACTCCAGTTCTGGCAGGGCCTCTACCGCTCTCCTTTGGACTCGGCTGGTGTGGCATGTACTTGATGCACAGGCCCGTGAGTGCAAGCAAAACACCCATGGACATAAAATAAAATGAAGGGAAAAAATTAAAACCAGCTTTCTCTCCTGGGAGTCAACTCAAGAGTCCCTTCCTAAGTTAATTTGTTAATCGATCCCTTCCTGAAGCCGTAAATGACCAGGCAGATTCCCTCTAGCTCCCTGCCTTAAAGGCCCTTTCCCTCTCCCTCTGCTCGATCTGAAGACTAAGCTTTCCACCCATGACCCTCAGGGAGACAAACTATATATAAACCATGGCAGAGGCAGGTAGAGTCTCACGCGTGTGATGCTAGGAGAACCAAGAGGCAACTGAGTACACAAGTCTGCATGCCAGACATTTGTTTTTAGTACTAAAAATGCAAGGGACGGTCTTGGGATGCTGGTTCTGTACTGCTGAGCCACGCCCCCAGCCCCTCACTGGGGGATTCTAGGCAGGGGCTCTACCCCTGAGCCACGCCCCCAGCCCCTCTCTGGGGTATTCTAGGCAGGGGCTCTACCCCTGAGCCACGCCCCCAGCCCCTCTCTGGGGTATTCTAGGCAGGGGCTCTACCCCTGAGCCACGCCCCCAGCCCCTCTCTGGGGTATTCTAGGCAGGGGCTCTACCCCTGAGCCACGCCCCCAGCCCCTCTCTGGGGTATTCTAGGCAGGGGCTCTACCCCTGAGCCACGCCCCCAGCCCCTCTCTGGGGTATTCTAGGCAGGGGCTCTACCCCTGAGCCACGCCCCCAGCCCCTCACTGGGGGATTCCAGGCAGGGGCTCTACCACTGAGCCACGCCCCCAGCCCCTCTCATTGGGGGATTCTAAGCAGGGGCTCTACCACTGAGCCACGCCCCCAGCCCCTCTCATTGGGGGAACCTAGGCAGGGCCTCTACCACTGAGCCACGCCCCTACCTCTTGATTTAGCTCCTCATTAGGGAATCCTCCTACCCCAGTCTCACGCGTGGTTCTCTCCACTGGCATCACTATGACAGGTTAGATAATTTGTGAGACTGTAGAAAGATTTCTGAATGAGCAATGAGGAAATTAAAAAAGGGGGGGGAACTAAGAGGAGTCCTGAAGGTCACATGACCATGTTCAGAAGAGCATCCTGGGAAGAAGTGCTCAAAAAGGAATTCCCCCTGCCCCCGGATTTTGGGGGCAGCCAGTGTAGCTGTGCTGGAAATTCCCGTTTGGATTGTTTTTTCTGAGACCCAGTCTCACTATGTACCCTAGGTTAGCCTCAAACTTCCAGCCTCAGCCACCAAAGTCTAGGGATTACAGGAACACACCACAGTGCCTGGAGGAAGATCTGTTTTTGGTTTTCATGGGTGCTGTGGGAAGGAGCGGGCTGTGGGCCTTTTAGGCATTTTTCCTTGAACAAGATAGATGATTTGGCTCTGGATGGAATGATTCACCTAATTGCCTTGAGCCTGCCAGTGGGCTGCCTCGGCTCAGACACAGCTCCAGTCTCCTGGGTCAGGAAGCAGAGGCTGTGCCAGGCTGGAGGATGGTGTGAGCCAAAGCCTGGGCAAAGGGTGGCATGGTGTTTCCAGGGAAAAGCAACCGGTCCAATTGGCCTAGGCTAGAAGAAGCTTTGGGCAAAATAACAAAGCTATCATGGATCAATCAAATGAGGCTTTGACCTTCCGGGTCATCCATCTGTGGGTGGTAATTGGGACTGTAAGGTAGACCATCCAAGCAGTAAAGGCAAAGATAAGAATGTGCTATTTGATGAAATAGCTGGAGATAAAGGATTCTGGCTATATTGTGAGACCCTGCATCCCCCAGTGAGGGGCTGGGGGCGTGGCTCAAGTGGTAGAGCCCCTACCTAGAATCCCCCAGTGAGGGGCTGGGGGCGTGGCTCAAGTGGTAGAGCCCCTACCTAGAATCCCCCAGTGAGGGGCTGGGGGCGTGGCTCAAGTGGTAGAGCCCCTACCTAGAATCCCCCAGTGAGGGGCTGGGGGCGTGGCTCAGGGGTAGAGCCCCTGCCTGGAATCCCCCAGTGAGGAGCTGGGGTGTGGCTCAGTGATAGATCCCCTACCTAGAATCCCCCAGTGAGGGGCTGGGGGCGTGGCTCAGTGGTCGAGCCCCTGCTTAGAGGAGGTAATAAAAAAATGATGGAGGAGGAGGAGTTAGGAAAGACAAGGAGCAAAGGAACCGTGTTGTAGACAAAGACAACAATCTAGGAAGGTCTGGAGGCCAGTGAGGGTCTGTGTTCTGAGACTGGGAAGCCAGTTCGGAAGAGAGAATGGGAGGGGCCGGTGCTCGGAGTTGAGTCCAGGGAGGTGGCCCAGTCTTCAGTGGGCTGTGAGCTTCCTCATCAGGAGCCTGGGTTTTACTCTAAGAACAATGGGGAGCTCTGGGAGGGGTTGAGCGGAGGAGAACTGGGTCGGATGCACTTAAAGGCTTCCTTCTAGGGCCGTGTGAGAGACCTTGGGTGGAGGATGGTGGTGGCCAGGGCAGAGGCTGATACTGAGGGGTAGGGAGGGCTGAAAAAGACAGGGTAAGTTCTAGCAAGATTTGGGATAAGCAGGCTTGATGATTGGCTGGCTGCAGTCCGGAGGGGCGATCTCTGCAGGAGCTGGGCCTCCCATGCACGCCTTACCTTTCTTCCTAGGAGCCCGAGGGGTTGCCTTTCCCCGGGGCCGTTACCTGGAGTGCATGTCCTGCAGCTCCTTGGATCAGAGCTGTGAGAGGGGCCGGGAGCAGA